TCTCTGCAGAGGGTTGGGGGGAGGGTCGGGGTGGTGGGGTGGGGTGGTGGTAGGGGCAGGTTCAGAGTCCCTGGGGAAGGACCCTCCCCGAACAGCTGGAAGACAGCTTGGGGGCACTGAGTCCCTGCCGGGAAGTCTCTAGGAGGCTCGGCTTGGAGTGACATCTGGACAGTGGGGTGTGGGGGGGAGTGTGGGTGGGTGATAGGCATCCCTTAGACCAGTGGTCCTCAACCTTCCTCATGCCACGACCCTTTCATACAGTGCCTCAGGTGGTGGGGACCCCAACCATAAAATTATTTTCATTGCTACTTCATCACTGTCATTTTGCTCCTGTCACGAATCAGGCGACCCCTGTGAAAGGGTCGTTCCACCCCCAAAGGGGTCTGAACCCACAGGTTGAGAACTGCTGCCTTAGACCCTTGGTCCAGCCTGGATGCCATCTAGTGGTCTCTGGGATTAAGCGGGCCTGGTGCTCCCCCCCCACCCCCCATGGGGTCCAGCCCTGTGCCGAATGCTAGGGTAGCTGAGAGGCCAGTGGATGGACAGAGGCCGAGTCTGGTCCTCTGCACAGATGGAGGGAGGGCAGGGAGGGGAGGGACGGTCCCAGGGGTCAGCAGGGGGCACAGAGGCCTCTGGTGGGGAGGCTGCAGTTTCCACACCTGCTCTGGCAGCAGATGTGGGCAGGGGCGGGCACCTTGGGGCCTCCGCGCTGCAGTTGCCAAGGGCACCACTGACACCACAGGTCCCAAGGGAGAGCCCGTGGCCTGGGCCCCAGAGGCCACAGTGAACTTCCAAGGAGGTGTCTCGGAGAGGAGGCTGGCAGGGGCAGTGAGGGAGGGGGCAGGACAGGGCTGCCCACTGGGTCCAGGGTAGGGAGCTCCCTTGCTCAGCCTTGAGCTCCTATCCTGTTCCGGGTGCTATCCCAGGTCTTAGAGACCCCACAAGGCACCTGGTGAACAGGGTGATGGCACCCAGAGTGAGAGGATAATGTCCACGATGGACATCCTGGGACAGCAGGAAAGAGGGACAAGTGGCCTGAGGCTCAAGGAAGCCCCTTTGGGGAAGACCTGAGCCAAGTTCAGACGGATCGCCCTGGACTGCCCCACCTTCCTCCCTGCCCCTACATGAAGGAAGGCGTCCTTTGGTGCTGAGAGCACCCAGGGCCTGGGAGGCAGCCCAGGAAGGGGCAGGGCAGGTGCCTCTTCCCTAATCTAAGGGCCCACAGCCTACCCGTCACTGCATGCAGGCCCGAGGAGAGAGGCAGCAGGCAGGGAAGGCCATGGAGGATGGGGAAGGAGGCTTCCAGAAGGGGGTACAGGGGGTGGTGGTGGAAGAGGAGTGAGGCCGCCCTCACTGCACAGGGTGGGGAAACGGAGGCCTGTGTGGCAGACAGCCCCTGCTCCCCTCCCCCCAGGTCACTCTGGGATCGCACCAGGATGGGATGGGAGCCCAGGACGGGGAAGGGCTCTTTCCACACATGTGATGCCTCAAGGGCATCCCCCGACTGATGGCTGAGCCTGCCGGTGCCCAGGCTGCCTGGCACGGTGTTGCTGTTCAGTACCATCCAGTCAGTTCCAACTCACCACGGACAGAAACACCGCCCAGTCCTGTGCCAGGATCCTTAGGCAGAGAAGTTTAGAAGGAGCCAGCACAGATGGGGCAGCAGGAGACAGGGCCCTGGTGTTGGGGCTGCGGGCACCAGTCCCTGACAGCTCCATTGCTGAGGGGCCTGGCCTTCCCCCACCCCTGGTGCGTGAGCAGGATCAGGCTTGTACAGAGTCCCTCTGAGCTCACCTGTCCACGGTCACACTGTGTTGTAAGCAGAGGCTCCTGGGACCTGGGTGCCAGGGCCAGTCATGAGACCGTGAGGGACACCAGGCTCCCCTGCCCCTGCCCAGGGGCTGAAGTTGCTCGCCAGCTGCCACCTTTCTGGAAGGGGGACGAGATGGACAGAGGACCAGGCTGCTCCTCCCTGTCTCACCCTGCTTCTCCACCAGGGGACATCTGGGGCGCTTACCGGAAGAAGTTGTTACCCCTTTCGTGGGGGTGGGTGTCTTTTCATGTTCAAAGTGGGAGAGGGGGCTCTCTCATGGGGACCTGTGTGTTGGCACTGGCTGAGCACCTTCTTATTGCTGAAATCCCTGCAGTGGGGTGGCACCTGCCTGGGAGGGAGAGTGTCTCATGGTCTGCCTCGGGTGGCCCAGAGCAGCCTGGGGAGGGGATGGGGACTGCCCACCTCTGTATTGAGGGTGGAAGGGTGGGTGGCACCCACAGGCCCTCTTGTAAGGCTTCTGCGGCCAAGCCTGTGCTTCTCCCTTCCCAAGCCCTTCCCCTCTTGCCTGGAAGGCAGGCCTCCCGAGTACCCGTCCCCACTGGCAAGCCTCCTCTCCCAGCGCCCGGTGGGAACCTGGTGGTGCGGACCGCGTGGGGTGTCAGGGCTGGGGGTTCCTGAAGCCAGCAGCATCACCCATTGTGACCGGGGCAAGGGGCGAGCTCAGACAGGAGAGGGGTCTGCTCAGAGAGAGCGTATGGACCGGAGGGAGGGGCTGAGCTCTGGAAATCAAAACGGCTTTGCTCTCTGGGGTCTGCACCTGGGAGGCTTAGCCCTGTGGTCCTGGCCCTTCTCCTCCATGGCTAGGGGGGGTCTCCAGGTGTAAGTGTGAGGGGTGCCGGTGTTGCTGTGGTTTTCTGGGGTCATCGAGGGAGGAGCAGATTCCCAGGAGGGTGACCAGCTCCCCTCAGTCTGTGTGTTGAAAGGTCAGCAAGTCAGGCTGGGTGTCACTGGTGGCCACCACTGCTCAGGCCCACCCTGTGCCTGGCAGAGGCCCAGCCAGCTCAGCCACCGCACTGTGGTCACACTGGGGGCGCTCCGATGTGGGCACTGGGAGGGTGGCTAAGGAGCAGGACCTGGCCTAACGCCCCCTCCCTGTGACCAGGGGGGAAGAGACAGCCATGTCTCCCATGGCCCTGACCACGAGAAACCCCATACTGTATGTGATTGAGCAAGACCCTAGCCTATGCCTTGGGGTCTCCGGGACAGGCATTGGTCCGGTGGGTGGCCTCACGCTCTGGCGGGTGGGATGGTGAGGGTGGCATGGCCCTAGCGCGCCCAGCACTCTGTCTGAGCAGATAGGCAGGAACTGGTGGGCCAGAGTAGGCAGTGAGGAGCTAGGAGTCCAAGGGGACTTTGA